ACCCCAATACACTGCACATACACACAGTATGGTCCCATGCACGGCTGCACAGCAGCCTAATGGTAGTCTACCACTGTACTCATATTATTCTCTATACATCTCTATGAAGCCTTTACCATAAGCCATCTTCCCCTCTCCCTCTAGCCTCTCTCTCACTGCTGCCTGCTAAATCTCACTTTTTTTGATTTGCTGAACCCAGAAAGGCCTCTGTGCTTGGGTCTTAATTTGACGGGGTAATTGGATGACAAGGGACAGTTCATAGTGCTTACTCATGAGTCAGCAGAGTTTTCTTGGCTTGTGCCTCCCACTGCTGCTGACTGGAGCGCAGAGTGGGGACCGCCAATTGTCTGCGCCCCATTCAGGTTTTTGTGTCTCCATCTCATCATTGGGATGTGCGTTTCCTGGGCGGCCCGGACCACACACAGCTTCACATTACAGTCAAAGGGCCATTATGTAGGGACTGTTAATGGGAATATGGAGGTGGGCCTGTCTTGTGAGCCAAATCAGCTTATCAATGGCTGCTGCTTCTGTTGGCCACTAATGTAAGGGTTTGCAGGGCAGAGGGGGCAGAAGAGGCCTTGGCTAGTTTTGCCAACAATGACGACTTGCTGAAACACTTTGTCAGCATACTTTTATTGGAACCCAACTGTTAATGAGTAGGGCAAACTCAAAGGCAATATTTTTTGTAAATTGTTAGTAATCGATGTGTAAAAAATATATATATATATCTATCTACATCTATATATATATATATATATATATATATATATATATATATATATTAGATTTAGAGATGGGTATCACTGTGTAAAAAAAAAAATTCTAACAGTTTATAAAAATATATATTTTATAAAAAATAAAATATATGTTTTATATAAAATACACATATATACACAAAAGGTAGTAACTTCAAAAAACCTCCTCCAGTGGTAATCACATTGAAATGATCAGCTGTTTCAAATGTTTGTGTATTTTTATTTATTTATTTTTTACCATGCCTTTTTTGTTCTTGGCAAAAACTATTTATACGCATCCCCCACCTAACTGAATATGTCATCCCAAATAATTTCTTCTGGGTAAATGTTCTCATTGACCATACGGAAATAAGCCTATTTCCCTAATGTCTGGATAGGATGGGATGGCATGGGAATTCTTGTATTCATTTGCATATGAATACAAATGACAGCCCTGTCTGGGCCTTGAAGCAAAACTTAAAGCAACTTCAATATTTGTATAATAATTGTAGTCAGTGGTGAAAAATGTGTTGAAGTGTGATCCAGTAACACCCATCTGATGTAATGGGTAGTAATATGTTTGTAATACCAGTGACTATTTTAGGAGCAGCTGCTGCTAGAAGCAGACATGGCTGCTGGTGCTGAGTGCATGTGAGTGGCTGGGCGTGTGCGTACATGCTTAAGGACACACTTGTGTTTGCACAACACGTGCTATCCTGTTAACTTTCTCCTCAGCTAGTAACACAAGGTTTGAGAACATGGCATATTCACTATAAAGGCAAGTTTGTCCTGGCTCTTTTGCATGTGTCTTTCAGGTTTTGTGTATTTACTGTGTGTTTATTCATATATTAAACCAAGGTATTTTTGAACAGCTTTATCTATATGAGGATGAACATCTTTTGAAGCCAGTCTCTCAGGACTTGCATCACATTTATCAGATCTGAGTCATCAGACCGAGAGATGAGGCCCACTGTCCATGGAGAGAACAGTTAAACTATTCACAAAGTTAAGTTAGTCATTCTGTCAGAAGTCACCTAACGTCATTACAGCAAGATTAAAAATAAAAAGTCATATTTAAACCTGACTGCATCATGGTCTCCAAATGAGATGCAGTCTGTGACTAATCTTCACTGTACACATCAGGTGGCATTAAGTCAACGTTTTGGCTGCTTTGTGTCAACGGTCTCAGAATTTACCCACTTGAGAAAATACATACATTTTCCCTTAGATTTTGATGATAATGCACATTGTGCTAATAATTATTGAGACATTATTCCAATAATTATTGTAGAATGTTTAATAAATTAATTTGGAGAAAAATTCATAGAATTTGACAAAGAGAGCTGAAAGTTGTCTCCAGTACATGGCAGAACAAGGAAATAAAATTCAATAAAAGTTTAATTGTAATAAAACTGAAAGTTGTATATCTCCTTCATCCTATTCTATGCCTGTCTCTGGGCTTTCCCCTCTCTCTGTATGAGTGTGATGTCACGGAGGGTGTTACTGTGCGTGTGCTTGCTGTGCGGGGGGAGGCGGTCGGGTGGGGGAGTAGTGACAGCTGTGTAGTTTAGATATGTAGTTAACAGTAGGAAGCATTCATACTACACATTCTGCTGTAGTGTGTCACCAGACTTCCCCTCACTCCAAACTGCCTCCTTCCTTCTCTCTGTCTGCTCCCCCCTTGCTTTCACTCCCTCCTATATCTCCCTTCCCCCCACACTCTCTCTCTCTCTCTCTCTCTCTCTCTCTCTCTCTCTCTCTCTTCTCTCTCTCTCTCTCTCTCTCTCTCTCTCTCTCTCTCTCTCTCTCTCTCTCTGTGTCTCTCTCTGTTTCTCTCTCTCTCTCTCTCTCTCTGTGTTCTCTCTCTCTCTCTCTCTCTGTCGCTCTCTCTCTCTCTCACACTAACATACTTGTAATGAGTCACCCTGCTCTTTTTTTCCCCTTTTTTCATTCTCCCCTTCCTTCATAGCTTACCACTTTATGGGTGTTACCACTTACACTGCTATTTCCTCCTTCCTTCTGTGGAACTGGGTATAATTCCTGGATTATACAGCGAGCATTCACCTGTTCACACACAACTAAATTTCTACCATCTACCAGAATGGATGTGCTATTAAAAAAAAGTATACTGCGTATATCAAGGAGTAGGAGTAGAAAAAGAAAAATAGGAGGGAGTTTGAAGTATACTGCGAATTTCAGAATGACTAAAATAATTAAAAAAATACAAAAAATACAACTTTGTCTATTTCTGTTTTAATGAATTTCCTTCAGGATCAATAAAACATCTATCTATAATTCAAGTTTTTATTATTATATTTTTATTATTATATTATTTTATTATTATGCTATTTATAGTAATGAAGGACTGAAATCTATCCCAAACCAACATTGTACACTGAATAAGTTAAAAAGGGATAGTGCTACACTCACATGAAGCCAATTTAGCCATTTGCTCTTCTATTAAACTTCAGTTTCTACAAAAGTTTCTATTACTTCTCCCACATTGATTCTGATAGTGACACTGCCCCCAAGCTATACAGCCTCTCATACAAACCCCAGTTCTTCGCAAAAGAGAAACCAGAGTTGAGAGCTTTCAAGAGGGCAGAAAAAGTTGGCCGTGTCTGTGCATGACTGTGCGACTGTGTGTCTACTGGCGGGTGTGTGTGGGAATGATTACATCAGCCTGCTCCTGCCTCCTGATTGGTCACCGGGCGTGTGGTTTGATTCAGTGTGCCTTGAAGCCTGTAGCTGAGGCTGTAACCCTTTGTGAGAGAGGGGGAGAGAGGAGGAGAGAGGAACAGAGAAAGAGAGGGAGAGGGAAAGAGAGTTGTCAGACTAGAACAGCCACTGAGTTCTCTACTGTACCTGAGAGAAGTGCAGGTCAGATGGGCTATTCCTTTACTGACCTATTTACGTACATAGACTTTTGAGTTTCTGGGCTTTTTAGGACAGGTAACGCAACTGTCATCTGCCGGATATCTAAAACAAAATCAGCGTTATTTTTTATTTTTGAATTTTTTTTGTCCTGAGGGGAAAACGTGTGTTTGGGGGGTTTTGTCTGTGCTCTAAAGGAAGTGTGTCTGAGTAGGGGGAGCAGGGCGCACTCCAAACATGCCTTCGTGTTCCCCAGACTGCTGCCTATTACGGGCCGTAGAGGTAAGACACTCTCATTCAATAAAATGCTGCTTCTTAACATATTGTCGATCTCTAAAAAAAAAAAAAAAAAAAAAATTCTCATAATCACAATGGAAAAGGCAGAACTGTTGGTGTGTGAACAGAATTTGCGAGAGTCGGATATAGAATTGACTTTGAACTGAGAAGGTTTTACTTGTGAATTTGGTATATTGCTGTCTAATAATATAAGAGATTAATTTGTACCTCTTTTCTGGTTTGTGCGTTTTCTCTCAGAGGAACAGAATTTTCTTTGTCATAATTTATTCCATGGGAAGTGTGCATGTGTATTGTATGTGTAGACTTAGCTGGCTGGATGTTTCTGCAGGTTAAGTAGGCTGCTCTAGTTCTCTGTGTAAATCATTCATTTCACTCTCAAATTTGATCAAGTAATTTCTATTTTATATTTAGTGGTCTATGTTCTAATGATATCGACACTTACAACACTTTATTTGGTGTAATTAATGGTCTTACTATGTCAGAGTGGATGCGTCTACAGAACAGAGCTTGTTATCTCCTCGTGGCCGTTTATTAATGAGATTTTAAACGTGGGTTCATCTGTTCACAGCAGATGTGCCGCCTCGTACCCAAAGTAGATTGAACTGCAAACTGAACATCCCCAAAAATATCATCTTGAGATTATTGTTCCCACTAGTTTCTGGCATATAATTGAGCTTGAGCAGAGAGAGTTACTTAACCATGGTCTTTCCTCGCACGCAAACCCTGGATATCTGTATTTAGCTTAGACACTATTTACTCTCACCTGTATATTTGCTTCTATATTACACCAACAAGTTGCTTTAAGAAATGCGTGCCTGTGATTTTTAATGCCACAATTGCTACATAGTCTTAAGTGTGTGTTTTTTCTATTGTCTGCTGTAATTACAGGTCTCTCTATGGCACAGTGTATGGGGCACTGTACAATAAATACTATGCTTGCGTTTGAAGTAAATTGCTGGCTTCACCCACACATTAGGCTGTAATAGTGAAAGAACATTGTCAAGGATAATTGACCAGAGTATAAATTATAAATGCTGACCCTTGAGTCTAAAATGTTGATGTTTGAACTTTTTTTTTTGCTGTTTTCTTGCTTAGATTGTGAAGATCTTCAGTGAGGACGGCATGGGGAAAGTGGTGGAGATACCAGCTGACATGACTGCCCGGGACTTGTGCCAGCTCTTAGTCTATAAAAGCCATTGTGTGGATGACAACAGTTGGGCACTTGTTGAGCACCACCCACTGCTCGGACTAGGTAAGAAATGAAAACACTCTCTTACTAACTTCATCACACTTTTAGACTCAGGTAAGTGCAGGTTTTTCACATTTTAGATGATTTCACTGCAGCCTCATATTCTCACGCTGGCAAGTATTCAGGCAGAAATGAATGCTCATGTATGCAGTATATGCACACAGCGATATAATGCATGGTGATGTAATCAACTACTGCAGTAAGACCCCACGAAGGACTAAAGTGATGAAGCTTGATCCCATTAAACCAATAGAGAAGCTAAAAATATTCATATCAGGACACAAATCTTGTTCCTGAATGTACTGCTATAAAACAGATTCACTAATTTTATGTAACGCTTCTGGTGAAGGTTCCACCACTTTGTTGTTTCGATTCAGATGATATTGCTTTGTCTGGAATGCTCCACAGTGTGAAGCCATCAGACCATCAAGTTACAAGTAAAATCTGTGGAGATGCAACCAAGCATTACTTCACGAATGACTGTTTATCAAGGTTCTTATGGAGTAAAAGCATCTGTAATTGAATTTTTTTATGTCTTACTGTGGAACATTCCAGGCAAAGAAATGTCATTGGAGACAAGCAGGTGGCACACCCCTCATCAGAGAAGTTACATAGTGCACATTTAATTTTTTCAGTTCTTTTTTTTTTAATTTACTGCAGCAAGTTTTCAATAACTTCATTTCAACTAAATATCATTAATGACACCCAACCTTGTGGTAGATTTATATATATTTTATGAGTCAAGCTTAGAGGGAAAGAACATCTTGGTGTAGTCTGAGAGTCTATTTTCCCTGAGGAGAAAGCAATTATAAAACACTTACAAAGCACAAGTCTGCCTTCACGTGTGTCAAACAGAAGGGTGTGTTTCTAATAGAATTTTCTCATGTCTCGGTTTTGATTTTTCCATTTATCACAGTAATTCAGAATTCCTAAAGAAGAATATTTTGGCTCAGAAATAATAGCCTCTTAACCCCATCCTAATTTGTGTCCATCTATCATCATCATGCAGCTATGCGTCAAACAGTTGTGCCAGAAAGTGTCTGCCAAGTACAGTTAGGGCCAGCATGTTGTGAATGACATCATTTTTGGCCCGGAGTTACTGTCTATTGTATTACAGCCTCTATTCCATTTTGGAGCACCTGTACACTAACCATAATCTTTTCAGCTCCCAAAAAACATTGATTAGATTTTATCTTTAGTACTTCCAGTAAATAAGATGTGATCACGCCTAATGCTCAAATAAATGCCTTCTATCTTTGGCTCTATATTCAGAAAGGATTATACAGTACATGCTTAATGTTAATTATTTATTTATTTGTTTATTTATTTATTTATTTGTTTGTTTGTTTGTTTTAAACACATTTTTAAATTGTATATTAAAATGGTGTATTTCAGAATGAATGGCTGTGTGTGTGTGTGTGTGTGTGTGTGTGTGTGTGTGTGTGTCTGTGTGTGTTTTTCTGTGTTTTTTTTTTTTTACATTAATCCACAAACTTCTGTCATAATAGACTAAACTGATACATGTTTGGGATTAGCACAATAAGAACCCATGTTTGCAACTTTAAGTTATTGTACTAAACAAAAATAAATTAATTCGACCTACAATGTTAAAAAATTTACATTATTCTGAATTAGAATTACTTTTATTCATCCCTATGGGGAATTATTTTAGTTTGAAGCCAATCAGCAGGAAACACTTTTAATTAAATATAACTGTCACAGTCAAAATAAATACAATCATTATTTCTTTTTTATCAACTGAACCCCCAGTCAAAAACTTACATTATACTTAACTGATAAAAATATTTTTCCTCACAACATATTACATACTAACATATTTACGCTATGTACAATACCATAAACATCTCCACAGTTCGATTTGGAGTGTGCATATTTATAAACTTGCATGTGTTTTATCACTGCACACTTGTAATTATGGTGATGGTGATTATAAATAGAAGTGTGAGTGCTCCTTGAACATTAGTGTATTTGAATAGAGTCCTATTTTGGTCCATCACCGCCCGCTCCTTTTAAATGACGGACTGGGATTGGAGTGTAACCCTGACCTGTGCTTATTAGCCTTAAACAGATTCACAACATTGGCACTCTGAGGTATGATGAGTGGTGAGTCACTGTCACGACCAACAGTGAGTCACCAAACAAGCACCTAAAGGAGACTAAAAGGAATGGAAGAATCGTGACACTTTTAACAAGGTTATGAAGGACACTATAAGAGTTCATCCTTCTTAATATTGTTTAATTGGAGTCATTTTTGTTGTAGGTGATAAAGTATATAGATGCTTCCACAGTAAAGGGGTTTTTGTCTTGCTAAAAAATACATTGAAACTTTTAATAGCTTAAAAATTCTGTGGAACATTTTAAGAAATCTTCTCTGTATTATATTTTTTGAAAAGGATTACAGTAAAAAGTGAGTCATGGTCAGTTTACGTTTATATTCTGTGGCCATTTTGGCAAGGACAGGGCTGTCATGAATCACTCATGTTTTCATTGTCATTGACAGAGGAACCTTGGTCTTATCCAGTGTCCAAGCCCTGAAACCTTGATGGGCATCCTTCAGCAGATCAAAATTGTTCTTGAAATGATTTCTTTATCATGATGTTTCATATAGACAAAGTTTGCCAATGAGCAATTTTGTATAAAGAGATATCTGAACCCAAAAATGTGACTCAGATTTTTAATAGGGCTCTGATGCTATGTGTTTTTCTTTTTAGAGAGGTGTCTAGAGGATCACGAGTTGGTGGTTCAAGTGCAGGCTGCGATGAACAGTGACAGCAGATTTGTCTTCAGGAAGAACTATGCCAAATATGAATTCTTCAGAAACCCTTCGGTAATTCCTCTTTTTGAAGACACTTGTTAACATACCATGTCATTGCTCAAAGATGCATATACTAAAGAAATACAGGCTGAACTGAGATCCTGGACTTGAGTTCAGAGACAAATGCTCTCTTTAACATGTCACAAATCACTGTATTTCTCATTGTTTACCTAACATAAATTGTACAAACTATATGCTAATATCTAGACTATTAGAAATTTAGTATTACGAAAAATATGAAAACATTCAGTTAACTTAAGTTTAACACCAGTAATGCTACTCGCTCATCTCTCTATTTTTCTCATCTTCTCAAACACGTCTTCTTGTTTTTACAGTCTTTTTTCCCAGAGCACATGGTCGCGTGGTGCCAGGAGACGAACCGCACGATTCCTTCATCTCAGCTCCTACAGGTGTGCACACATCTCCCTCCTCCTCTCTGCTTTCCCCTTTAACGCTCTCAGCTTATATTATGCCCCCGTCAGCAATAGCTCACTGTACAATCATGCTGACATGCCTCACCTCTGACCCTTAGACATGATGTCTACAGACACACTCAGTAATAACCAGTGTTGATCCACTGTTGACACCACTGTCTCGGCACATGCACCACTTGTTGGTATGTGTTAAGAATGGATTTAGGCTTTCATAAGTAGAACATGCAGTACTTTATTCAGCAAATATTTGAACAGCTCAAAGTCATGTCATGTAACACAAAACATAGCTGCCTAATTGCATATGTCAGACAAAAATGCATTGTGGGATTTTGGAGTTAATACATGAGATGTGAATGTAGCCCTGTAGTCATGCAATATAGCTGTGAGACACACAAAACCTGTACTTGCATTCATAATTGCAGCTTTCAGTTCTTGTACACTCAAGAGGGATGGATCAGACAGAAGGATAGAGTACTTCATGTAGTATTTTTTTTTTTCTGGATTTATAAACATGAGAAAATGGACATCCTTCCAGTAGGGGGAAAATACTTTTGTAAGAAGATCTGCTTTAAAGATATTTAGTAGTTGTATTCTGGACAGTTATATATACATAGCAGATCAGCTAACAGCAAACATATATGCATGAAGGCTGAGTATGTCTTGTCACTTTATCCAGATATCAGATTTAGAAGCAAGAAGCTGTGCCTCAAAAAGACTAAAATAAAAAAGCTTGTCTTCTTCTTTGCATGGCGTGTGAATGTTGGCTCTGTGCTGGAGGAAAAAGCGTTCACGCATGAGTTCTATTATAGCCAAAGTTTCCAAAACAGTAAGAAACATGTGCTTTTAATATCGAGGAGTCTCTGGAACAGTTTACCTTCAGGCCACAAGCCCCCAGATCCCAAATCAGCTCTAATAAGTTAACCTGCCACTTCATGGTGTGATATTTTGTGAAACATGAATACCACAAATGTTGAATTTTTCAGACACCCACAAGATGATTTGGGCTTGAGCGACAGCCAGTGGGAATGTGCTGTATGTTTGTTCAGTGATGGGCACTGCTTTCCTTGGCTCGTCTGTTACATAACAAAGACTCCGTATTTATGTATTTGTCTTCACTGTGGAATGTGGATTATCTAAGGATGTTAATTACAGGTACTGCCCCAAGTGTAACTATGATATGTGTGCATGTTAGCAGTACTGTGTAAAAGTAACATGGGAAATAGAAAAAAGCCAAAGCACTGGTCTTGATGGAATACAACGTTTGAGATGCAGTATTTGGATTTTTCATGGGTAAATTCTCTTGTGCTCTTTCCCTATTTTAAACTCCAGAACCGACACTGGTGAAAAAGCTAGTTAATCTTTAATGAGTTCTATAAGTTAGAACTATTGTGTGTCTTACAGATGACATAGGTATATATTAGTATGTATTGATTCTTAAGCAGCGCATTTAATAAAAACAGCGTCTCGTTTTCATGGGTACGATCTGAAGCTGGGGCAGTATTCGATAACATTTGTGCTTCACCTTTTGTCTTTCAGAACTTTTTAGCAACGAGTAGCTGTCCAGAGGTCCAGGGGTTTTTATATGTGAAGGAAATGGGAAGAAAGTCATGGAAGAAAGTCTACATGTTTTTGCGACGTTCTGGTCTATACTGTTCAACAAAAGGAACCTCAAAGGTATATAGATTATAAATTAGATAAAATGAATGGCAATTGAGGACTACTTACAAAATTAGTGAATGCTGAGGCTAAATGGGTGATATTTCAATTTCACCTATTGAAAATAAATGCCATTGTATCGTATTTTACACAGGTCTTGCATGTTTTTCTTATAGCGTGCAGTCTTTCTTTACTTTAGTTTCTACAGTCTTTCACTTGTCAAGTAATGTCATCAAATGTCACGCCATTTCCTGACATGTGGCAACTTCTATTCTTTGTCTCCAGGAGCCGAGACATCTCCAGTTACTGGCAGATCTAGACGACAGCAACATCTTCACTGTTATTTCAAGTAAAAAACAGCACGGCGCTCCCACAGACTTCGGCTTCTGTATCAAGGTAAGACACTGCTGACAGATGGGAGACGGCAGCACTCAAAAGAAATGCATATTATGAGCCATTATGTGAGTGACGGTGTGTCTAGATCCTGCAACACAATGCCATGTTGAGTAAAGTTGGTGTCTTCTTATATGAATGACAGCCCAATAAATGCAGAGGGGAGCTAAAGGATGTGAGGATGCTGTGTGCTGAGGAGGAACAGGGTAGGACCTGTTGGATGACTGCCTTCAGAATTTTTAAGGTACATTTTTCATCTGTTAACTGTGTACAGTAATTTGTGTACAGTAAATTGTGCAGAAAAATTTATTACAGAGAAGTATGTTCTGAGTTCTCACTTATATCATGTTGCTGGTTCCATGCCTGAATGAATTTGGAGGGTTAGACAAACTACAACATTTAATATAAAACATATCCAAAATGTAAAGACAACACTGCACTTTAATTTGTAGTTAAACTGAAGTCTTTGTACAAATAAAAAGTCTCTGTTAGAAATCTGTGTAAAATGTGCATTTACTTTATATTTTTATTGTTCTTCACATGGATAGTGAAATATTTATCACCGAAATGTTTTTTCCTCCTTCACAGTATGGAATTGTATTGTACCAGAATTATAAGATTCCTCAACAAAGAAAAACTTTGCTCTCACACTTCTCTACACCAGTAGTAAGTTTGTAATCATTAACTCTGCATTGTTCTCATGATTAATCTAGTAATTCAATTTGTTAACAATTGTGTATCTTTTTGTCTCCCCCTAGAGGAGTGTTTCAGAAAATTCACTAGTGGCAATGGATTTCTCAGGGCGAACAGGCCGAGTAATAGACAATCCATTAGAAGCTCAGAGTGCAGCAATGGAAGAGGGGCAAGCCTGGAGGGTAAGAACAGCATGCATTTTAGACTAAAGGAACCATATGTTGAATGAAGAACTATTTTTTCCTAATTCCAGTTTACACTTGTGTTATAATCATTATGTACTTTTTTTTTGTTGTTGTTTTGTTTCTTTGGCATCTCTAGAAAAGGACTCAGCGAATGAATGTACTGGGCTCCCATAGTCCCTTACACCACTCCTCCTTAAATTCTGGTAAGATACAAACATTAATTAAAGTAATTAAATGATCAGTTAGCTGTGTTTGTAATAACAGATTGATTTCTCTTTAGTTATTCATATAGCCCAGCTGTGGTTCCATGGGAGGATAACCAGAGAAGAATCCCATCGAATTATCCACCAACAGGGACAAGTAGATGGGTAAGAATTCCTCATCTAAAATCGTCCAGTCTGTAATATAGTTACATTGACGGCTATTACAATTACTACAGTCAATTAAATGTTGCTTTTTTTGGAACAGGTTATATCTATTACGAGTCAGTCAGAGCAACCCGAAAGCGTTTGTTCTCACATTGTGCCATCACCAGAAAATCAAACACTTCCAGATACTACCGGTATGCACTCAGTTGGTCTGTTCTCTAATGTTACACCCATATTACATTCCCTTCATAATCCTTTTCTGTCTTAGTGCGAGGAGGACGGCCAGCTCTTCTTCAGCCTTGATGATGGGTCAACCAAATTCACAGACCTGATCCAGTTAGTGGAGTTTTATCAGCTCAACCGCGGAGTGCTGCCTTGCAAACTCAGACACCCATGCACCGTCGTGGCCTTATGACACCCGCAAATCAGCTGAAGCTACCATCACTTGACCTATTTTGCCTAAAACAAAATAGCTCTTCATTTTGTTAAAGACTTTTCAGAAGCTGGTGAATGAACTGCGTTGTTTTATTGTTCTTTATATCGTCTTGAAAGACACAATGAACCCTTTTGCATGGATATTGACATCACATTAGTACAAATTTCAATGCAAGATCTTCCACAAGTCTCGCTACGTACAGTCTCCAATAAGCTCTGACTTTTTTTTGTTTTACTTTTTTGCACAGCTGAATTGTAAGTTGTGCCACAAGCAGACAATCAGCAGATCAAGCTTTTGTGTGGACCACTTTGAGCAATTAAAAAAAAAATGTCCTCAAAAGAAAAAATGTCATAGGTGGAGAGTTGATTGTCTTGTAGTTTTTGCACTCAAAAACTGACTGGGAGTGGCCTTTTGGAGCACATGATTTGCTTCTCTGTGAAAACTGTGAGGTGGTGCCACACTTCCCTCTAGTGTCACACACTTGTAAAGACAAGTAAAATCCAAACCAGGACTGGAGGCACTGGCACTTGCATCTTTTGAAAGAAAGTATTTTTAACGTCACCATTAGAGAGAAAATATCTTCCTCTCTTGACCTCACAGGGTTTTTAATAATTGTTTTTTTTTTTTTATGTGGTCACTGTTTGTGTACCCTCATCTACTGCTTTCTGTAGATTTGTTATCCGTAAACACAGTACACTAAACCATGCATTACAAATTTGGAATAGTTAAATCAGTACTGTTGAAAAATATGCACAATTTATTTTTATTGATTCAAGACACAAAGTAGTGATAATAATGACAGAAATGGCATTTGATTATTAATAAGGAAAAAAAATCAGGATTTATATTTGAATAACACAATGTTCCTTTCTGATCAGAATTGTAACTCATGGAGGAAAGTAAGTGACATGTAAGAATGAGACAACATTTCTGTATGCTGTACATACAATTAACATGCTACCTGTTAAATTATGGGTCAATGGAGAAACACAGGGATGGACAACCACTAGCATGTGACGGGGGAGCCGTTTACTGGAGGTTTTTGATTTTGAGTCGTTTACACATTTCTTTGTCCATTCAGGTTTAAAGTTGAGATTTGGTGAGATTTAACTTGACACCACTGTGCACTACATTCCTTCAAAAGTCTACTTGAAGTCCTACATTAAAATCAGCAGATATATTCCCTCTTGGTGTGTACTACCTACTACACTTAATATAAATTAATACTATATAATTTGACACCCTGTTTAATACATAGTTAGTGCTTAATTGTATCTAGCATAAATGGCTTTCAATGGCAAACCAAACCAAAATCAATTTACATCTACAGCTGTTGGCAGTAGTTAACAGTGCAGTATCTGACTATAGAGATGAATACGTTTTAGCACTGTTGTTGTTCTGCATTGATGCACTTAAGACAGGAAATACTTGAAAATGCGGCAAGAAATGCAGATACAACATTATAAAAATGTTACAATTGATGTAACAAGCTTCTTTTTAGAGATCAGTGTCCCTCACTTGTCACTCCATGCACAGTCCTCATTATTTGTTTAAAAATTGCAAGGACTCAATCATGTTTAAAGTATTATTTCTTCAAAATGTATTTATTTATCTGGATGTAACTGATTACTTGAACATGTACAATTTGCTCAGCGCTGTCTGATACCGTTTTCTTTTGTCATTACCAATTATATATATATTTTTTATTTTTTATTTTAATTATAATTTGTGATCACATCTGGCTCTGTTTAAATAATCTGACACTTTAATGAAGTGATCCCCAGAAATGGTAGACTGGTCTCAGTAATGTTAACATCATATCATTCATACACACATGAGATAAAGTTTCATTATTTGACTTTCACAATAGAAAGTACAATTAGGTTATAAACAGCTAAAACTAGTGTCCATCAACCAGATAGCAAACAATAGTTTGGCACACCTCTAATGCATTAATATTGTGTAAGGTTTTATCTAGCTCAATATTTAGATCAATATTTATTTGTTAATGATAATGACATTAACAAGACCATTATATCCATGATGAAAACTGAAGCCTAAAGGAGTATTAAAACATTTGAGTTGTGTATGCTTTTAATGTTAATAGATTACATTTGACCATGCCTGTGCTTAATGCCATGTACCCTAAAGTGCATTTTATATACAGACACTACACACAGTAAGATTTTATCTGTAGCTTCCATCTATTGTACTAATTATTTCAGGGAATGCAAAAAGAAAACGGTAACTTCACTCTTCTATCATGAAGAGCATGTTCTTTTAATGTGCTTTGCTTCATTCTGTAAATAGCTAAATGGTGTATATTAATTGTAACCTTTTCAGGTATTTTTGTACAAATAAGGGACTGATATATTCTCTTTATTGTAATTAGAATAAAACCTTAATACGTTGATAAAGGAGTTGTTTTTCTTCTTTGAATGAAACAGAGGGAGTAGTAGACAAAGGAAAAAGAGACATTACTGGGGGATAAAGAAGAGGGGCAAAAAAGACAAACTAATAATAAATAAAACTATACTAAAATAATAAATTTATCACATCATGCATATTATAATATTTTAACTATGTATGAGTGCATTCTCTTTAATGGCAATAGTTTAGACTTTATACCCAATGTAGTAAATTTGACTAATTATCCTCTTTCAACTGCAATCAACACTGTACAGGAATCTGTAGTTCACATATTAAGCACTAGATGGCCTAAATATACAAAATGCCATTCTTATGTAGTTTTAAATTGATCCCTGAAAATAGGCTTCATACAGAAAGTCCTCAAAACAATGATGAGGTGAAGGCTATCATTTGCCATAACCGTTTAGGCCTAAACGTTGCATCAGGATGAGGCATTCTGTTTACATTATTTATTTTCTTATTATTCTTGTTAGATGTGAGCTGGTGATTTCATTCAGTAAATAAAAAGGCTAATATGCTTCAGTTTGTCTTGTTTTTTGATCATTAGTGGTCTAAAAGTTGTAAGTTCCATGGCCTAATAGTAGTTGCAGTTTCACAGTATTCACAGCACTGTAGTAGTAATAGCAGTATTTCCAGTAGGGCTGTGCAAAAATATCTAAAACCTGATATATAGTATTGTTAAGATGAAAAATACTATATGGGAATGGGTGGCTGTATCTAGATATCGCTAAGAGTATGTTTTTACTTATTTTGTGGAAGCAGCAGTTTAGTGGCTCATTAGGAGAAATTAGTAGTAGTAGTACTAGTGGTAGTAGTAGTGGTAGTAGTAGTAGTAGTAGTTGTAGTAGTAGTAGTAGTGGTGGTAGCAGTGGTAGTAGTAGTAGTAGTAGTAGTAGTAGTAGTAGTAGTAGTAGTAGTAGTAGCAGTAGTAGTAGTAGCTGTAGTAGTAGTAGTGCATGTATTGTGTCTCATATAAAGTGTCTTCAGTCTGTCTCCTGTCTCCTGTCTCTGTCTCTTGTATGTTTGTGTTTCCAGGTGCAGGTCAAAGGTTCAGAGTTTGTCCCTCATTTGTAACATTGTTATATATATATCAAGGTCTGCAGAATTATTAAGCATCTTCTTTTCTTCTGGCAAAATGGACCCAAAAAGAGATTTAACTGACTCTGAAAAGTCAAAAATTGTTAAAAAAAATAAATAAATTAATTAATTTAAAAAAGTCTTTCAGAATGATGCAGCACTCTTGAAATTGCGTGATCACAGTCCCATTAAATGTTGTGTTGCAAATAGTCAACAGTGTCGCAAGAAACATATTGAGAAAAAAATACACAAATTAATTGCAAGAGATTTGAGAAGAATCAAACAATAAGTTTCCAGTAACCCATTATCCTCCAGCGTGGTCAGAGCTGCAGCCTGGAGTGCCCAGAAGTACAAATATTCAGTGCTCAGACACATGACAAAGTTAAAGATAGCTGAAACCTAACCACCACTGAACAAGAAAAAAGCTGAAAAATCAAGACTGGGGCAAGAAATATCTGAAGACTTATTTTAAGGCTTTATGTACTGATGAGATGAGTGTGACTCTTGGGCTCACGGGCTATGGCTGGATCAGTTATGGGCAAAGAGCTCCACTTCGACTCAGACACCAGCAAGGTGGAGGTGGGGTACTGGTATGTTTATTTGCAAATTTTGAATTGTTTTACTATTCTGACAGATGAAATTAAACAAGTGAGAATGGAAAATAATTGTGCATCCATATTTTTTCCTAAGAAAGCCAAAATTTCACTTTCACTTTCTTAAATATTAAGGTTTGAGGTTTATTAACATTGACCAAGCGCACTGTGGTTGTTCAGTTATAAAATTATTCCTCATAAATACAACTTGCTCAATAATTATGCACACAGTTATTAATAGTTATTCATATTTTAAGGACACAGAAAGAAAGAAAGAAAGAAATACACAATATAAATATATATTGCATATTATTAAAAGGTAACAATATTACATGAAAAAGAAATACACAGAAAAAATATTATAACCTCTATTCCTTGACAGTATACAGGCATGAGCCAATGATCCCACAGCCATTTTATTAAGATTGCTAGCTTTGTTTTTGATCACAAGGTCAAGTAGAAATGACAGGAGGGACTCTGGTAGAACACCATGTTGCTGTAAAAGCAGAACCAAAACTCAGGTAAAGTAAAGAGATTTATTTTACAGATGTGATAGGAGCTGGGAGGGGGTCCAGTGGAGCAGGTAGGCATTGGGCAGGAGGGTCAGATGGAGCACGAGTCACAAGACGATCAGGTGAGTAGAGATGGGAGATCCAGGGAGCACTGAGAGTAGAAAAAATCTAAATAACAAAAAGTCCAGGAAAAGGCACGTAATTGTAAAAAAAAAAAAAGCAACAACAACAAAATCTTCAGGAAGAGAGTCACGAGCTAGTTACCAAGTGGCAGGGAGTGAAGAAAGAAGCAGGCTTATATAGTAGATTGGAGATCTCAGCTGTGTGATGACAAAGAGGCTGCAGTTGGTGTTGTGAGGTGACTCCTCCCAGGCAGGTGAAACACAGAAGAGAAGAGGGAAGGGACAAACTGGAGGATCATGACACATGTACCATAAAACCCATGAAGCAGACGTTCAGATGTAATATTATCTAACCTGCAGGACTTACTCTTAAGCTTTAGTACTGCATCAGAAATGTTTCATCATTTTTGTGGTATGACTATTATACTGCTATTGCTTTCTATGGGCATTAGTAGCAGCAAATGTATTTTTAAAGACATGTGTCATATGTCATGGTCATAAACTATTAACTATTATTATATATTTTATATTATTATTATTATTATTATGCTATTATAAACTATTATTGTACTCTTATATATATATTACAATTAAATCTTTCAAGTATTTTATTATTTCATCACTGTGTAGAAAGTAAAATTATATTGTTTATATATAAAACAAGGTTGTATAAGTGCACATTTTAGGATGTGTGTTTTAGCACAAATATGTGTTTAACCTCTATTCAAGCATCATTTATTACAAACGGGACTTGGGACTTACATATCCTGACAACTGAATTAGAGCTGTCAGAATAATAACTCAAAGACAACACGGTCAACATAATTTGTGACCCCTGAGTAGACATACCATCTTTCAAGCTTAAGAAAAATAAACAGCTCTTAAGCACACTGGCCTTTCTTCAATATGATTCTTATTTTATGTTCAGCACCTTATTCCAATTCTTCATCCAGTTGATATAAAATGATGGTACTTCTTTTAGTAATTATAATAATGTAATTGTGCCATTTTTATGTGGCCTCGTAGCTTTACAGAGTCCTCACTAACATATTTAATTAAAACACAGGCAAGTCTGGACAAACATGGGACAAAGGTAGTAAATAGTGAACACTTTATTTAAATTTTAGGTTCATTGTAAACATTTATAAGTACAGTTTTAACATAATAACCCAACAAATTGGAATTAAAATATAGGATCTGTAAGGAAAACAGCCTTTCCCTTGCATGTTTGTTAGTTTCTGCTAAGATTTTTTTTTTTAAATAAATACCCTTGAAAACAATATACAATTCAGAGAAGAATTTACTCAATCAAGCAGTAAAATGCAAATACTTGTGTATTGTGGCTTGACAAAAACACAGGTCATGCAGTGCTAGTGGAATCAACCCCTCCCAACTTCAAATTTGAATCTGAAACACGAGCAAATAAAAAGGGTGGAGGAGTGTGTGCATTTTTTAGAGATTATTTGGTTACACACAGGTTGTCATTTGGGGTGTTTTCATCATTTGAGTATGTTTCCTTCAAAATGGAGCTAAAACAATCACCATCCATACTCTACATAGTCATATACAAACCTCCTCAGCACTGTCAAAGTTTTATTGATGATTTTACTGAGATGCTTTCAGTTGTTTGCACAGACTTTGATGGTTTAGTCATTATAGGTGATTTTAATGTACATGTGGATAATGTGTTTGACAAAAATGCCAAAGAGCTTAGTGTTGTCCTTGAAACTTTTGGTCTGACTCAGCATGTCAGTGAGCCCACTCACAACAGAGGGCACACTCTGGACCTGCTCATTACAAAGGGTGTAAATATTTCAAATGTCAATGTGGTTGATGTTGCTCTGTCTGATCATTGCTGTGTCTTCTTTGACCTGTCTGTTATTCCCAAACCACCGGCTGCTCCTACAGTTGTTCGAAGAAGACACATAAATGATAACACAGGTGCACTGTTCATGGAAATGATAAATTTTGAAATTGCCTCATGTTCTAATGTTGATGATGTGTTGAACTCTGTGACTTTGAGTGTTTTGAATGTTCTGGATGCCATCGCCCCGATAAAGGTTAAAATGGTTAAAGAGGCAAAAAGCTCCGTGGAGGAATGATGACTCAGTCAGAGCACAGAAAAGGGAGTGCCGGAAGGCTGAGCGGAAATGGCGCAAGTCAAACCTCCAGGTTCATTATGAGATTTACAGAGGAACAATGCATATGTACAACTACACTTTGAGTAAAACAAGAGAGAAGTATTTTTTGGACATTATTGGTAATTGCAGTAACAACTCTCGTGTCCTGTTTGCAACAGTGAACAGATTGACAAACCCTCCAGCTCCACTACCACTAGAACTGATTTCCACATCTAAATGTAATGAGTTTGCAGTTTTCTTTAATGACAAAGTTCAGGGCATCAAAAATGCCATCAATTCCACAACACAAATAACAAGCATGCAGCCACAGAGACACTTAGAGCTGAATCACTTTGCACCTGTAACTGACAAAACTGTTTTAGAGATCGTTACCAGTCTGAGTTCATCTACTTGCTGCCTGGACATGTTACCCACTAGATTTCTAAAGTCCGTCCTCAACAGTTTACTTTCACCACTCACTCACATAGTTAACATGTCACTTCAATCTGGAACATTCCCAAATGCATTGAAAACTGCGGTCATTAAGCCTCTCCTAAAGAAGA